GAATAATCTAAAGTGGTTAAAAGTAAGTCTACTCAATTCATGTTCCTTTGTCAAAAAATATATCTTTAATTATAAAATTCTGTTAAGAGTAGAGTTTCTCAAATTCACCTGCCCTTAGATAAACAATCAGATAATGATATGTATGGTGGCCGACAGCTGCCATTCAAAAATAGGGCATATCTTTATTTTTACGCGTCTAGGTCACTAACAGCAACCCTAAGGTCATCGGCCATTGGTACTTGGAATATTTGTACGAGACCAAAGTTATTCCTGGTACAATGGCAACGATACATGCTTTTCTTCGAAGAAACCATGGTGATATAGATGACCCTCGCGATTCCATCATATATGGACCATCAACCTCATATCAAGAAAGTTTCTGGGTACAATGTATATGTACCTGGTAAAAGTTGCTTCCACCTTGTTTGATCTGTAAATTCCTTTGTCTGATGTTCATTCCAATAAATGAGACAAAAGAATTGCAACAAACGTCTGCAGCTTTGCTTTCTCTATAGACTGAGAGATGGTGGAAGGAACTCCATGAAAGAATGGAAAAATACTTCAAGGAACAACTAAATTGGTTAAAGGACCAAGGTCATTACAATCCACATAGTGAAAGAGACAGGTCGATATATATTAAATGCATGTAGATCATAAGGACTTCTCCTTCCCCCTTTGTGACAGGTTCACATCCAAATGCATGTGCTATGCAAAAAACCCAACACTTGTACATTTCCCAGCCTCAACCATCTGAATCGACTGGGTGAATGGATTCATGTGTAGGCTAAGCAGTCACGCATTTGTGTGTACTTGTGTCTATCCATAACTTGTGTCCTTTAGCCCGAGTCATAATAATGAACTTGACGACCTGGTTTTGTGTTATATTTTTAGAATGCTATTAGCTTTCCTAATGATACCTGTGGTACAGAAACAACTTGATGTATTCCGGACAGTTGTGTGGACCAGCCACAGAACAAGAGCAAAGAAAGATACAGCTTTGCCCGATGGAGTCCCTGATCATATCTACAGCTTTCCAGACATGTATGGTCTGGAAGATTGTGGTATGGTTATGTCACATTTATATATGTTGATGCATTTTACGCACATGTACAGTGTACTACCCTGTATACACCATATGCCCGAGCTTCACGTGGGGTCACTCTAGTTTTGCTTAACACAGCTGAAATGCAGTTCAGTGCACTCAAATGGTGTTTTTCATGCAGCGGTGACTTCCATTGACGTTTTCCTGCTCCTTTATTGTCCACTAATGCAATTTTCGCTAATGTCTTTCATGACATCGAAAAAGACATTGTGATTTTTCATAATCTTAACGAGTTGTGTTTGATTGTGTCAAAGTTGACTAGTTTTTAGCCTAATCGCCTACTGTTATCAAACCTACCTGTATGCTTCACGGAATCCTCCCTTTCTAAATGGGTCCTTTTCAATATTGAACTCTACAGTAGTTGCTGTTAAGGACCATCCCACAGGATCCAAGTCAAAGGATCTCAGCTCGATCAAAGTAATGGCTTTCGTCTTTATGATCTTACCAGGCTTCATGATATCAGACACTGACAGACTCTTGGGGTACACCTTGATGCGTTTGGGTGACAAAGCACTTGTTGAATCCTTTTCAGGAGAAGTTGATGTAATGGGAACACTCAAAACTGCTCTTTCCTTCCTCAGGGTGTTTGGGGTGAGAAACATTGTATTGGGCTTCTCCGCGTGGTCTTGTTAGAGTTCCCGTTGAATGAATCGAATGTGTACGAGTCTCAAGTCAGGAACCTGTTCCAGTGTGGAACAAGACGGCCCTTGCTCACTTGCGAGAACATCGCATACAACGCTTTTACCAACTGTATTTGAGAAGTACTTCTCACAGGCAAGTTTAATGTTCGCTAACGTTAAATCCTCATACTCGGCGAATGGCACAAACTCCCTGGCTCCGATTCTGCTAAACTTTTGCACCTTGCCAGAGACCTCCTGAACTTAGGCGCTGTACTGTCAATTCACCACGTTGGTGAATAATCCCAGCACTTACAGCATCTGCTTTTGACTTTCCCTGTACACGTTTGTGTTTCATCTGGGCTTGAAACTTTGCCTAAGCTCGATCCCCCATGTTGAATCGGATAGTCCGGGAAGAAAATAGCCATCAGTCCCGTACGCACATGTGTTAACGCAAAGCATGACGGTATACTATGGCAGCTTTCGGCCATCGGGAAAACCAAAATTTTTTTTTTCAAAATTTCAACGGCAGTTTTCGACCATGGACATTTTACAATGATTTTTTTTTCTTGTTTCACTTTTTACTTTTATTTTGATTTCGAAATTAAAACGTTTTTTTCTTGTTTTGATTTAAACGAAAAACGATTAAAACTCACGTCTTTTAAAATTAGCCACAGTTCATGTAATATAATTTTCATATATTCACAGTCAAGTATAGTGAACGTAGCTCCTAGTGTTGTGGTTTGCCTATAATTTCTGACTAAGATTTTAATCTATTAAGTAAAAACCCTTGGGTCTTCATATGACCATTTCTCTTCATTACACTTAGCAATAGTTTCTGAATTTTACCAAATACGAGCTAGTTTATTTAACATTCAAGGCTTTCTTTAGTGCATATTGAACACAGCATAATTTTTTTTGTAGACATAGCCAGAGGGGTAAAACATTTGATCAATCATATTACGTGAACCATGTGGAACTTCTTTTAAAGTTTTATTTCATTTTCGACATATTTAACAACTATTTGTCCGAGGCAAAGTAAATACTGTTGGAAAATCCCCAAGACGAAGTAAGGTAGATTATTCAATAATATTTACTGAGCCTGAGGTGAATTATCATTTTCGTATAATTATGAAACCATTCTTTGCATAGAGAAAACTTTTTTACAGTTGTTTTGATTACTCGTGTCGAGATATTAAGCCAGTTTCCACTAGAATTTAACAGCAAATACACCGTAGTTTTGAAAGTGTTACGCCTAACTTAGAACTATCTGTTTTCTGTCAGTATCGAGTTCATCGCTTCCCGGAAACATTCGGAAAAAATCCGAGGCAGCTATTTCGAAATTTAGCGCTCCTGCTATAATCACCTTGCGCGAGCTGATTATAGCGAGATAGGATGCAACCCTCGACCAATCTTAGCGCGAGAATTTCTACAATCACTAGAGTAATTATACCAGGTTGATAAGTTGCGTGTGACACCAAAATCTTGTTCTCTAGATGGTAGAGGGTATTCAAACCATGGACATTCTTTTTAAAGCCACAGAACGTTGCTTTAAAGAAAGTGAAGAAAAGCAATCCCCCCTTGCTCCATCATATCTTGGAGGTAGAAAAGCTTTTCACACAAATTAGCGACAAACGTTTTGACATTAAATAAGACCGCAAGTGCAAAGCGCGAATACTAGCGTAATTATCATACAAAAAATGATGAAATAATAGTATTTCTCCTGCTTCGAAAACATGACAACTTCACCTGGTGCAGTTGGCGTATCGTTATATCGTTACCTGAGAAGATATCAGTGTTATTATGGTAACTGTGTTTATCAACATGGCGGTGTAACTTTCCACGACAATTTTTAATTTACAGATGTTGCTAAGATTGAATTCAACTCTTTTAATAGCAAGACATCGTTTTTACAAGAAATTGTTTTGTTTTCGAGTTAGAAATTAAAGCAGTTTTCTTGCAGGTGACCTCTTCATTCGGCGTTGATAAAATGAACTTTAAAGGTCCATTTCCAACCTTGATGCAATGCGCACCGGGACCCAATTTCCCGTAACACGAAATTCCCAGATCACTGAAAGTCTTTCTCAAGAGCCATCCTGGACATATATTCAACTGTTTTATGGTAAATACATTCGCCGTTCGTCATTTTACAGTTTCCTTACAGTATTTTGAATTTTGTCCGGAAGAATCCACAGAAATTTTTTTTCAAGTGTACCCTTGGTCCTATTTAACAAGGATGGCAAACTTCAATTAAAAAAAATATGGAAAAATATCAGACTTGATGAATAGATGTCGGTGAAAACGTGGTGGATCAACATTTTCAAATTTTTTTTCACTTTCTAGAAGCGCTTGAGGATTGTTAACGAAATGAATCGAAGGATTTTCGTGTTCCCCTTTAGCAACAACCGATCCATAAGCGTTTACTGCCTCGCAATCTACAAAATCAATGGATTAATCTAATTCCATGTCCGATTAAAACGTATAGAACGGTTTTGAACAGAATTATTTTGACAAGCTCTTCAAATTCATCGGAGAAAACGCAGAAGGTACTCTGAGCAACGTGACAAGGTAAAAATAGCTGACCAATCAGAGGCGCTATTTAAACAAAAGCGGTGGTTCAAAACAAAAACAAACGACCACATTGCATCAATGTTGGAAACGGGCCTTTTTAAAGTGGTATTTTTAAAAAATGGTATTTTATTAAAAAAAAAACCAAAATCTTTATTTTTAAAAAGTGGTATTTTATAAAAAAAAACAAAATCTTTATTTTTAAAAAGTGGTATTTTATAAAAAAAAAACAAAATCTTTATTTTTAAAAAGTGGTATTTTATCTAAACACAATATCTAAAATAAACAGAACTTTACAGGTCTGTATGTGGATAAAACTAGATCTTCTTCCGTTGATGATACATCTGATTAGTTCGCTTCACTCACTCGTGAGAAATATTATTAACATTTGCGGTTGAAATGCAAATCCAAGCACTGGACGTAATATGCCTTTTTTTTCCACTAGCTAGGTATATATTGAAATTGGTGGTGTCAATTATGGGAAAGAACAGCTGCTCTTTTTTAATTTACATCTTGCTCTTATTCGTCATATTGATAAAGGAAATTAAGATTGTTCAGCAATATCATCTACAAATGACTGACGGCTTGGGTCTCAAAAATTACTACTAAAAGAATTGGAAATACGGTATAAGCTCCAACTAAAGTTTAAAATTTCATCAATTCTATAAAGTGGCTGTAAGCACTTTTTGGACAACTTCAAGCCTTTAAATTCATTAGCAGCAAAATGATCTTCTGAGTAATTCCTTCACCAATTGTCTCACCTCGCTAATCTTCCAGCAGTAAAGTAAAGGGTTTAGTGTCGAATTAAAGTAAACTAGAGTTAGTGTTAACTGTCTGAGCACAATAATAGCCGACGACTGTCCACTATAGGTCCACAAAGCTGTGATTATACCATGTGGAAGATAACAAACAGCAACTGCCACCTGCAACCAAATTACACTGGACACTCCTTTTCTATATTGAGATATGTTCAGTGGAGCGGAACTCGAGTTGCTAGATTGCTCTCGCTGAATGATGTTGCCGCGTACCTGCCTTTCATGGCGATGGAGTTCCCAAAAAATCTTTGTATAAGACGAAACTGAGGTGAAGAAGCTTACTGGTATAACTATATGGCTATACCATATTGTTATTCGGACGTTCTGCGCATACATTGCTGAGCAGGTAATGGAAACAATCCAGAACATGATGACAAACGCGCACGCCTTTTTCACAGTCACAACTTGTCTGTATCTCAGCCCTAATGTCAAGGCGAGCAGCCTATCCACGCTTATTGCAGTCAGTGTTAACAAAGACATGCCGCAGAGAAGATAGCTTGCTATAAAGCTGGTAAATAATGCGTTGTAGCAGTCATCCTGTCGCTTTCTCACCGCGGACATCCAGTAAGTTATGGTAAGAGGCTCAGAAATGACACCAACGAGGAGATCAGTTATAGCCAGGGATCGGAGAAATAGTTTGGACGGCGCGTGAAGAGTAGTCTCTTTGTGAAGGGCAATCAGGATCAGAATATTCCCCAGAGATGAACAAATGGCGAGCAAAACATTGAACGCCGAAATAAATATCAGATAACCGCGTATTCCTGCTGTTATTTCCTGAGAGCAAAACAATCGCTCGTAGGTTTTCTCCTCTGCATTTTCAGTAATGTTTTGGTAAATCGTCATGTTTTAAGCGACAGAAATGACTTAATGAGTTTTTGTATACTCAATTAGGAGTTATATATCACTGCGAGCTTCCTGCTTATTGGTCTTTGTGCAATTAAAATGCAATTTAATTATTCATGAAATTAGTCATGACGTCTTTCTTGAGGAAGGAGAGAACCATTAACTGTAAACATATCGAAAGTTGTTTTTGTATTGATAAAACACCAGCTTATTTGTCGTAATTAGGCGTAATTTCAGCGTCTTAAGACACTTCATTGTATTTATAATATTATCAAATTAACACAAATACAAACAGTATTAGCCTCCCTGGTAAAGGAAACCAGAACAAACATTCTTTGCTATTGATTCAGTGTTTTTCGATCCAACTTTCGATATCTTTCAGTGTTTTTCGATCCATCTTGCGATATCTTTCAGTGTCTTTCGATCCATCTTTTGATATCTTTCAGCATTTTTCGATCTATTTTTCAGAACGTACACGGATCTTTCAGAACTATAATTTACTCGCCTATTTATAACTAAGTCGTCGGTGTTTGCGTTCATTCGTTGCTGTTAATGTCGTGGATGAGTTGCCTGTGGCAGTAGCTGCTTGCATCTCTTTCAATGAGGAGTCTGTTCTAAGTTATCGATGAGCGCTCATGCTCTAATAAGCACCCTTCCCCACACCGAGCCCGATGCCATAATATCAAACAAGCGCCTATCTCGAATAAGCACAGGCTCTTCCCTCGCTATCTTTATTAATAGGGATACAAGAAAAACCTGTTTCTATTGCAGCTTTATTTATAACTTTTTAAGCATCAACCACAGCCAATTTGGTACAGGAGAACAGTTTCGCTTCCAGTTATGGCTCCCTCCATACTGACTTGACGTCTACGTGGATGTTGCAGCTTTTGTCTTTTTTTTCTTTTTAAGATATAGCCAAAGTAAAGTTACAGCTCGTTGAAAAAAAAACTCAATAAGAACCCCCTAGATGAATGGGGTTAACTGACATCTGACAAATGGCCAAAATTCTAACTGAAAACTGAAAAATGGCTGAAAGTCTAAGTGACAATTGACATTTGTGGTGGGCATTCACTGACAGCTGACAAAAGGCTGGATCGCCCTAAATATCCTTAAAACTGAATGTAAAATAAGGTCAGTTTATTTCTTTTGTCCAATAAAAGTACGTTTTTTACTACATATCAGTAAGAGTACGCCAGAGTGTCATATTTCGTTAATAATTACGGCATGGACCATCCACATCAATGTCATATATCACATATCGGTGAAGTGATCTTTGATACCAAACTCGATCGTCAACTTACGCGATGGCCTTCAATTCTGTTAATTTAAAAGCTGTTGTAGGCTTTTATCGAATTGATTCGGAAAAGGCATTTGAGCGTCACAGAAGCCCCGTTCTATTAATGATGTAAACACCGTATTGGCGCTAAAAAAAGCACCTTATTTCGTTCCTTGGTCTAAAAGATTTGTTCAGTAAATATGGCCTCGGATATTTTGATGTGAAACTTTATCACCTGGCTCCGAAATAAGGAGGGAAGAGCGACAGTTTTGCCTTAACTACGTACGAGCAATAGAATCTGGAGCTTCCGACCATGCCAGCTGGAATAGGAAGCGAATTCAAGAGTGTGTATTGGAATGGTTTGGTATTTGGTATTGTGTAAATATATCAGTTAAAAGCCTACTCTGTAGTATAAAACGCCTCTAATACCAACTTATCAGTAAGCGCTCAGAATTTTGCGAGGACTGTGATAAGAAGGCCTTGTTAGCACTGAATTCTAGTGTACAGAATGAGACCTTGCCTGCAGAACTTTCCCTGGTTATTGCCTTGCCAGATGTGGTTCACCGCGGGAAGAGTTTCAGGAGTAGCTGGTTCATTGACCTTAAGGGCGCAAGAAGTAAGCTCGCCTTAATACGCACACTGCGTGATCCTGGAAGCCTTGATATTCGCAAAAATTTTGGTGAAGCCTTACCCTCGCTTGTGTGCGAAACGAAGATCATATGGCAGTTGAACCAATCGTACACCTCACCAGACCAACAGTCTTAGATGTTTTATAAGAAGTCACGTCTGTGGTTCACACCCTGGTGCCAGAAAGTGTCGTTTGGTAATCAACTCAAGGTGGACAGGCCTCTTTATGCAAAAGACCTATCGCTCTTTAACGTGGAACCCAAGGCAAAATTCTTGCTTCGGACTACGGTTTTGATTCTCTTGAGGCTCCTGTAAGAGAGTTGCGATCGCACCAACCTCAGCGTAGACGTTGAAGTGCTCTAAAGAACGTTCAACGATGCTAGAGACTTGTGTTTTATCAATGACGTTGTTTTTATCGCAGAACGTGCTTCATCTTTGATTTGCTTCATTGACCTTGAAGGCAAGGTATCTGCCAAGCCAGGAAGCTTGAAATATCGCGCTGATCTGTTGCGTCAGCTAGCTCGTTTCAGTTTACCGCTTGATGGCACAATATGCGAAAAGGATTGAACACCCATCTGCAAACTTTAGCCGCTAAATTCGGAAACTGGAAGCTTGTCCAGCTTCGCCCTCCTTTAGAAAAGCCAACTTCAATATGTGCTGCGAGTGAAAACACTCTTTTGTGTGCAAACGATGCCCAGAGAGGAATTATACAAGTGACATTACATTACAATGGAGTTGGCACTGCTGGTACTGTACTCAAACTCGTGACCTACCCGACTGGCATTTCGAATCTCATATCTATGGAAGTTCTCACACAGAGAGCTTAATCTGTAGCAGTCGGTCTAGACGATGGCCTTTACGTTTGCAACCTTTCAAGCTGAGAATTTAACCTTAAATATGGATGTCAATTGCTCAATCTGCTTTGACTGATCTTTAACCTGATTCTGAGTGGTCTCTAGGCTGCTCAGAGCTAAGTTCAAGTGGCTTTCCATGTGTGAATCTGAGTGGGATTTTGCTCTTGTCCTTGGAAACTGAGAAAAAGACAATGTGGTTATTAAACTCTTTTAAAACAATCCTACCATTCAATTTTTGTCAATTTTTTATCTAATAGTTCCTTTCAGCAATACACAGTCTAGTTTAGTAGGAATTTTTTAAACCCTACAAAATGAAAAATATATTTACACATATTTCACAATCCGTTGTAATTAATTATACAACATGATTTTGAAATACATTACAAACATACGACCATATGAGCCAAGAGCTACAACAAAAAGATGAAAAAGATTTAGTCTTAAGTCAGCAGCCAGAGAAATCCTCCCTTGTGTATAGCGAAAACAAATCACTCGGCGTCTTAAAATTCGTAATTTATGAATCAGGAAACTGAATTCAGAGAAAAAATTTTAAAATATTCCCTATTAGCCTAAGGCATTGCCCCCTGCGAAGTTTAATGGAGCAAACTTCTTTAAAGGATCGTTACCGTGTTATTAGACAGGAAGAAAATCTGTCATGTGGCATGAAAACTGCTGACCATGACAGCGCAGATTACAAATATTTAAACAACACCAATTTCAAGTCCAGACAGTTACTATTGTGTAAGAAACTGTTTAGCCGTGGAGCTCCACAAGTTACCCTTATCTGCTTCATATAACATCTTATCTTATTGCCTCGATGGTTAAGAGTAGCGAGAATAAGCGCAACGCTTGCTTATTGTTTAGGAGACAAATTACAATGTTTGAGGGATTTTTACATTTTTTGGGACTAACTGAAGTGATGGAGTACCCACTTACAGTGGATATGACGTAGATCTTTCTTTACACACTTTAAGGACAGTTTGGAGGACTTGAATCAAGATAGAAAGAGAGTGAGATCTTGAGCGAGAAAAAAGAAAACGAAAGAAATGTCGTCAGTTTTTGCTAGCAGCATAAAAAGAACGGCAGTATTTAAATGGCTGACAGTATTAAAATAAAAGGTCGGTTTCACAAGTCACCGATGATCGCAGAATTCTCACGCTTTTACGCAAAGTCCTCAGGCTAAATTTCCACGGCTAGAGCTTTTTTCCTATTCAAACCTCTGGCATATGTTTTGTACTCTACTTGTCATGAAGACAATTCTCCTTTTCCAACATTTCTCACAGTGAACCGTGGTCAATCACAGACAACGGTGAGTAGTAAATAATTAAGCGATGGAACGCACTTTCTATCGACTTACCGGCGTAATAACCCACCCAGGATGTTGGAAGAACCCGAGAAACGTTTCTCAATCACTTGCCTCTACCAGCTCGTGATTTACAAACTTTCCTCATGTTCTTTCAACATCCCAAGTAAGTTGTTAAGATGGTAAACCAACAGAAAATGCAGACTATTGCTTCAAAATAAACTTTAATTTTCGGTGGGTTTGCCCTCAATGAACTTCGCTCATTTTATAAAGATACAAACATGTATATGAACATGAACGTCGAAAAGTGAGGATCCTGTGTCAATTAAAACAAAATTCTGCGTTTGTGACAAACGAAACAACGCAACGATGTTTTCTACCGTTATGCCTGACATGTTTTGTTTTGACCTCGTTTTGCAATAAGGGCCACCTATTTTAAGGAAACTGCGTTTCGAGTTGTGCGTTAAAATGCCTACGGATCTGTTCACTGAGAGCAGAACGTGGAATCTTAGTTTGCGTAACCCACAAGTATGAAGTTATGCGTTACCATTACCTTGTCGCGAGAAAGAGGCTGTCTGTCAACTGGACATTTTGGAGAATGGCTCCTGAAAGAAGGAAATTTGCAACAGCAGACAAACAAAAAAATAAAAAAACAAATGAAATATTAACAATCGTTCATCATGTGTATTATAATTATTTACTTTCAAGTCTTGGCGTTTTTCATCGCTGGGCCATATTCTGTTGCGTGAGGAACCATAATGGTGGACTTGCTGCATGTAATTAACATTTACATTTAAAAGACAAATTATGATTAGTTTAAGTCGATTCATGTTTAACAAAGTAAACGAGAACGATCACATCATTCAATGACTCTCTTAAATGCGTTTGTGCTGAAGCAATCGAAGACATCTAAAAGGCAGCCAGCCACTCTTTGATAAAATATTTGATAGATTTCCGTCGCATTCATAAGTACTCACAGTGACCTCGAACTTGTTTGAATTGTTTTTTTGCCGGATGAGGCTATCTAGTAGTTACTTCTATATAGCTAAGGCACCTCTTAGAAAGTGAATCAACCGGTCAATATCGTCATTCAACTTCCAGGTAAGCTTGATTGTTTCACAAACAATGATACGCCTTTACCTCTTTACCTACCGCTGGAAGCATATGTCTGACAGAGGAAAGCATTCTTGAAAATGTCACCAAGGAAAAGAGACATTTATTTTGTCAAAATAGAACTCATTAGTTTCAAACTTGACGATGTCGTTTTTTTAACAGCTAAAATTTACCTTGAAAGAGTTTTACACTTAGTTGCTTTGCTGTGTTTATACCGCTTTCAGATTTAGAGGCGCTGTTTACAATGTGGAAAATGAACTGAAGGTTCTAGGTTGACCCTTCAAGCCACTTCGACCGGTAGAACTACGATAACAGTCAACATGGTGTCATCAGCTCAGTGAAATCACCTGCTCAGAAGCTTATATATCACTCAGGCCGCCATTGTGAGTTCGATTTCAGACCGAAACCTGAAGAGATAATCCGTCTTGCGTGACGACTAGTGAAACAAGCCTAATTCCCAGACTCTCTAAGACTCAAACTAAGCCCTCTGATTCAAGAACTGGGAAAAGTCTTAACATATAGAAAATGTTGTAAGGCAAAACACGCATTAACAAATAAGTGTATAACAACAGAGGCGGGGGATGGAAGAGAAGATGGAGAACTGTCATAAATAGCTATTGAGTGGAGTTAATTTTTCCAAAGTCAGGTTCCAATGCAATTCCTAAATACATCAGTAACAGTCTTTAAATCATACTTGCTTCCCGGACAGAAAAGTAGCCACAAACATTATGAATAAATAAGTCAAATACACATGTATATATCTTGAGTTTGTAGCGATTATTTCCAGCTGCATCATAATATAATAACTTGACTTTCAAGTCATAAGACACATTTTTGTGTTTCTGACATAAGTATCCACTGGAACAGGCGCACAAGAATGCCAGTGACCTTCATTTATATTTCAGTCTGTGACAATTAAACAAACTACAACATTGAAGCAATCCTCGAATACGACTTTAGGTGGGATTTGCAAGTTAAGACACGTATGAGCTGTTATAAATTTTCCTTTCCTTTACTTTTGCACCTGACAGCTTTAAATAGGAACTATTTTCTTAAACAGCATTTAGTTTTAATTGTATTCTTCACTGCTTGTCTCACTTCTGTGATTTTCCAGCAATAAAGAATCGGATTCATGGATGAGTGGTAGTTTATCAATGTCCCTGTAAGTTGCCTAACAAAGAAAATTAATGAAGGTTGTCCGCTTTGAGTAAACAAAGCCTCCACTACGCCGAGGGGCAGATAGCACTTGCCACTGCTTTCCTGCATCGAGACATGTTCAGCGGAATTCATGAGAAATTGTTTGGTTATGTTGATCATACTGTGGATGAAGTACTGTCTGTACCTGCGTTTGATGATGACAATAAGTGAAGAAGATCCAAGTATAATTGAAGAAGGATATCAATACGAAAGCATACGAACTAAATTATAGATGTAGCGACAACTGTATGCTTTAGGGCCTATTTACATAGAGGTGGAGGCTCAGGTGGGTGAGGTAACCCGCCTGTTCATATAATCTCTTGTTTTATCTTGATCACGTTTACATGATAGGTGGGGTAACCCGTCCAGATGGGTTGCCCGGTCTGCTGAGTAGGGTAACCCTGTCAGCCGGGATAACAATTTGCCATGTAAACGTCTCAAAGTGGGGTAATCGCCTAGCCAAGGTGGCTTCCTGTTGCCTAAAGATGATGTTTCTTTGGTATGTTAATTATCGATTCATGTAAACAATTTTATAAATGTGAAGCACCGTCACGGTTCTATGTTTAAAATATAAAAAAAAGAGTCTGTATATCCGAGATGGTTGACTACGCTTTTAACATAGGAACTTAAATCGATAAGGCGAAAGTGAAATTATCTTCTTATGTAACAAAATTTACTTCGGCGAAGAAGGCATCCGCTTGAAATATTCATTTTTGGAACTTGAGGGATGAGGTTGTAGTTCATAACGTCATTCATGTTTTCCTATCATAACCACTTACTTCCGCCTTCATTTCTCAATCTATCTGTCACCAATAACAGCATATGCGCATAACACATACATTCGTAAAAGGCACTGACTACCGATATCATTAATTTCGAACCAATGTTAAATATTTTTTTTGTGTTTTTTCAAGTACAGGAGAATAGTTTCGCTTCTAGTTATTGCTATCGCCATACTGACTTGACGTCTGCGTGGATGTTGCAGCTTTGTTTTTTCTATTTAAGATATAGCCAAAATAAGGAAACAGTTCGTTGAAAGGAAAACTTAATAAGCACGCCCTAGATTAACCACCATCCTTCGTATAAAAGTGCCTCTCCTTTTGCCGTAATTTTAGATACGCTGCCCGGACGCCTATTCGAGGAAATACGGTATTACCTAAATTATGTCTTGTGATGTCAGTACAAGCATGAAATGCTGCTGAAAGTGATGCAAAGTGATGCTCGTCTACTGAGGCATGTGTTGAGGCCGATGATTAAAATTTTCCTCCAGTTTCCTCAGTTTGTGGCGGTCCTGGCTTTATAAAGTTGCAATTAATTTACATAGTATCTACCTATTCTCCGTAAATGACACTTGAAAGACAAAAAACAAATAACAAAAGAGCTGTGAATAATGATTAAAAGCTTATTGACTACGGTGAAAGTTTACACAATGCTTTCTTGAAGAAACGTCTGGAAATTAAGAATCTTTGGTTTCTACTTTAATATCATACGTTCGTAAAATCTTTGAAATTCTTCGAGCCTTAAGACAGGCCTGTTAACTTCTATTGAATTCACAAACAGACGGTAGACCAGGGAGTAGTTGCTGTGATTGGTCGACGAAATCTCCTTCGAGCAGTGGACGAACATCTCAAGATGGTAGACAGAGAATGTTCTGAATTTTCTTCTACTTTCACATTGGAAGCAAAGAATCAGGAGCCACATTACTGTTATCGTCATCTGTAACACTCAATAACGCGGGAAAACTCGACCCAGCAGCCTCTATCAGGTGCACTGAGGGTTAATACAAAAAAAAAAGATCCTATGTCATTTTTAAAGAAACCAACCGAAAACAGATGTGTATGAGTAGATGGAAACGTTACAGAATTAATCTCCTGCTTATTTGACACCATCAATGTCACATGGCGTATACATCGAATAAGAATTTCTGGGTTACAACAATTATCTTAAGCGAAAGACATGACATTACCCACCAGCTAAAGTATCTTTTTCCGTCATGTGTTGGGTTGAACAGGGGAATCCACGATAACTTTTCCCCTGAATAAAGAGAAAAAACTTTCAGTTATCCAAAGTAAGAGAAAATCAATATAAAAGGCGAGTCTTATTTACTAAATCTAAATGCAGGTTTAGTTTTACTATGAATGAGGGGAGAACCTTTTCCCACAAACCTTCATCATGAAAGGACAACGTTTCGATCTTGGGGCGGATTATCTCGGTACTAAACCTCAATGAGTACCCTCGTTTTATTACCTTCAGAATACATTTACATGATGCCTATCAATGTTAGTGCTTCAGGACAGCTCCCTAGACAGTGCATATAAAATAGCAAGATAGAAACGAAAGATACCTGATACTTACAGCAATCGATGTACAGTCTTTTTAAAAATTTCAAATTCACGAACTTATTCACTTTTACGTTTACTCTTACGTAGTTCTATCAAAACATTTCAATATTCATATATCAATATTCACCTTTACCTGGATCTAACTCTACGCCGAGCCGATGTCCAATTGTAGAGACAGATCCGACGTACCTGACTGTTCCTCGACGTTCCATGCCCATAGTTTTAAACAATACCTTCATACCTTCTTCAATATCATTAATTGATTTAGGCTTGAAGCCCTGTTTCATTGTATCACCTGTAATAAATAACAAAAACAATAGATAATCAAAACGATAATCAAACTAAATACATCACGATTATCAATTAGACTTCATTGATCTTTTTAGGTCACCAAAGGCCAACATAACCCAGTAGTTTTACTCGGAGTTCAAATGACTTAGCTCTGCGTAACATGAGCTTATGAGCGAATCTACACACCAGTGCCCCCGTCCCCCCCCCCAAAAAAAATCCTATCAAATACTCACTTGTGGGTAATAATTTGTCAGATACGAGTAAGAGTGTGATTATTGGTAAGACTACTATTTTTCTGCATATAAAACACACGCAACCCAAAATTTCACTATTCGCTCTGACGAAGGGCTGCCAGTCGAAACATCAGCTTTAGAAATTCTTTACTGTGGCCAATTTAATTCATCAACTCAATTGATAAAACCAAGATATCTTACTATACCTCCCATTGACGCAGCGCCACAGTTTCTTCAGAAACTCACCCTCTTCAACCTTGCCAATATTTGCCTCTATCTTGTTTGTCATGCCCTTGGTTTGGTTGGTCGGTTTGTCCACCAGCACAGCTTGATGTCGATCCTGGCCTGTGAGGCGTTCTACCTGCTGCACCAGACCCTGCATAGAGGACGTTAAACTGGCTATCTGCTGTGACTGTTCTGTATTCTTGGCCACCAATCCTTTTATCTGCTGTGACTGATTATTCAACTGTTGTGACTGATCATTCAGCTGCTTTAACTGATCATTCAGCTGCTGTGACTGATTATTCAGCTGCTGTGACTGGTTATTCAGCTGCTGTAACTGATCATTCAGCTGCTGTGACTGATTATTCAGCTGCTGTGACTGATCATTCAACTGCTGTGACTGATCATTGAATAGAGATATCAATCGCTCTATCTGCTTTGACTGGTCTTTAACCTGATTCTGAGTGGTCTCAAGGCTGCATACAGCTAAGAGCAAGTGGCTTTCCATGTGCGATTCTAAGTGAGATTTTGTTCTTGTTCTTGGAAACTGAAAAAAAAAAGACCATGTGGTTAGTAAAATCTTTAAAAACAATCCTAACATTTAATTTTTGTCAATTTTTTATCTAATTGTTCCATCCAGCAGTGCACAGTTTAATTCAACTACCACACTGCTTAGTAGGAATTTTTTAAACCCTACAAGATGAAAAATGTATATACATTTGACAATCCGTTTTAATTCATTTTACAACATGATTTGCAAATACAATACAAAGTTACGATCTCCCCTCCAAACCTGCAAGTTAATATAAACTGAAAGCTGTTTCATACCGCACTTTGGCATCCTAAGTTCTTGTATTTACAATCAATTTCTGTTAAAGGACAGTCATCACGAATATGAGCCAAGAGCTAAAACATAAAGATGAAAAAAATTTAGTCTAGAACGAGCAGCCAGGGAAATCCTCCCTCGTGCCTAGCGAAAAGAAATCATTCAGCGTCTCAAAATTACTCCTTAGATTTCGTAAATTATGAATCAGGAAACTGAATTTAGAGAAAAATTTTAATATGTTCCCTATTAGTCTAAGGCATTCCCCAGCAAAATTCAACGGAGCAAACTTCCTTGAAGGGATCGTTACGGTGTTATGGATTGCTTCCCTGTCATGGAGCAATCAAGATTAAATTCTGGCGGGCACACTCAAGGCAGAAAATAACGACCTTAATGCCCTCTGACTGATGAAGCCAGGAAGTATTCAAAGCAGTATTGCACATTCTTTGAACACTAAAGCACGGAAAGCCTCCAATTGCTCACATAAAACAGGACTAAGCACTATGTCCCATGCGGGCTGTGTGCATGAACTTTCAATTAAACTCTCGTGAGAATTACTGAGAATCCCTGAGAATATTACATCTTACCTTTTCTCGTGGAATATTACTCAGACCACAAATGTTGGTACATTGAACCGGAAACTTTTGACAGACGTTATGATGTTGCTGAAGAAAATCGAAAATAAGTTTTTATAGCTAAAGTACTTTCAAAATTCCCCCGTCTTATTAAAATTATGACCAATAAAGATAGGTTGTTGTACGAATATTTTCATCAGTGAGGGATCAAAGTTTTTGAACCCGACATTTAAGCTCATCTTTAGTAAGATGTTTCTGTGTAACAATTTTATATCGAATAAGAGAAGATACCTAGAGCTCAACAAAATCTTGACTTAATAAAGACTGAAAGTCGTCACCACTTTTCCACTTTGGGTAAAAAGCAAAAGTTTGAGATGCTGCCCTTGTAGAAGCTGTACAAGGAACATAATTTTGTTAACAAACCTGTTTGTTTTTCACGATAAATGATCCTCGACAATATTCACAACTAACTTCCCTCCAGACACATTCCGTTATCTTGTGATTGTTCATATCTCGCCTGGTGAGCTTCTCTTTACATCCTTCATTTGGACACTCCACCACTTTGAACAGGCATTCTGACTGATGTTTCTTAAATCACAATTTATCAAGAATAAACACCAATGTAATCATTAATCAATCTGCTAAGACATACAACAGGCAAAAGAAAATAAGGGAGACTTGATTGAACGTGAAACAGTCGGTTAACTGACGGTTTAGGATCTAAGAAAAGAAATGTGAGATTTACGTGTGACTTATTGATAATAATGATATCCCTAAAATTAGGGATAAATATTAAATAAACGTCTAATATGATAAGCGAATAAAGGGGGTAAGTTTCTAAAGAAACTGTGGTGATGCGTCGGTGGGAGAGTGTAGTAGGTAATTTATTGTTAACAACTGAGTTGAAAACGCAAATTGGCCACCGTAAAGGGTAAAAAAGCTGACGTTTCGAACGCTAGCCCTTCGTCAGAGCGATTGACGAAAGGCTAGCGCTCGAAACGTCAGCTTTTTTGCTCTTTAATAGTGGCCAATTTACGTTTTCAACTCCGTTGTTAACACTAAATTACCTAATATGATAAGCACCTATCAAAGATTAGTAGACATGAAGAAAATCTGTCATGTCACGCGCAAACTGCTGACTATGACACCGCAGATTGAAAATGGTAAAACAACACCGCTGTCCACTCCAGACCTTTACTATTGTGCAAGAAATTGTCGAAGTCTTATCTTGTTGCCTCAGTGATTAAGAGTAGCGGGAATAAGCGCAACGCTTGCTTATTATTTAGGAGACAAATTACAATGCTTAAGAGATTTTTACATTTTTGGGATTAACTGCAAATGAGGTGATGGAGAACGCCCTTACGTGGATTTGACGTAAATATAATACCTGCACAGCTCGGAGTTCTCCCTTCCAAGGACACCCAACATGAGGGCATTTCACCTTGAGATCCAGAATTTTGCGATGACAAGCGACATCTGGAAATATCTGACAACCCAGACACAAGCATATTCATGGGCAATACATTCTAATCAGGTTACACTGATGTCAACAAGATAATGCTTAATTACGATCTTTCACTCTTCAACAAAGGCGTGGAGGACTTGAAAGAAGATATAAAAAGAATGAGATCTTGAGCGAGAAAAAAGAAAAAGAAAAAAATGCCGTCAGTTTTTGCTTGTAGCATAAAAAGAACGGGCAGTGTTTAAATGGACTGGCGGTATTAAAATAAAACTATAATGCACTATTACAAGATGGATTTCCCAATTCTCCAGCTTCTACGCAAAATTTTCTGGCTGAATTTACATGGCCGGAGCTTTTTTTCCAATTCAAATCAAGGGCATACGTTTTGTACTCTACTTGAAGATAATTAAGAAAGGAAACGCACTTTCTATCGGCTTACCGGCGCAATAACCCGCGCAGGATGTAGGAAGAACCTCCGCTAGCTCGTGATTTACAAACTTTTCTCGTGTTCTTCCAACATCCCGAGTAAGTTGTTAAGCTGTTAGACTAATAGAAATGCAGTCTGTTGCTTCCAAATTAACTTCAATTCTCTGTGGTTTTACCCTTCGGAAAACGCCGAATTGAGCACCATGCCGAAGAGAGTAAGACGCTTAAATTATGACTGATTATGCAATCGGAACCATGCGGTTACTCAATATTTTTCACGCAAGATGCGGCTTCGTCGAGTTGCTCTTGCTGCAAAGGCTGTCCTTTTGGTAACATACTTTGTTTGATGCTGAATTCTTGTCTAATCTTTAGGCTACTCGTTCTACAAATATTCAAAACAGCCCTCAAACGCTAACATCCCCAAATGTAACGTTGCCTAAATTGAGTACTGCGGGTCTCCTACAATGATTATTACCATTCCTGAATTATTTCATTGACGGTCATGCCAGGTTGTGAAAATGGTAAGAGAAAATAGAAGGTAAATTGAATGCGTAATACCCATCACTACCACGTTGTAATCACACAGCAGTGGTAGTGTGTGATTCAAACAAAAATTACGAAAACCTCGGTTTTGATAAAAACGATCTGCGATTGCTGATTATCAAAAGCGCTTACAAAAATATCAAATTACGAGACAGAGCCATTCGTAACTTGTTGCTTAAGTTGCAAAATCCTTCGCTATGTCCCTATATAAACTTGTCAAAACTTAAAATAAGATACAATGTAAGAGCTCAACCATTAACTCCAAAATTTGTAACTTTATGTCAAGTAAGGCAAGCTTCATTATTCCCAGCTGTCAGAATAACAGGCTGACGAATAACAATAACAATATTACAACAGAAGCAGATTGTCGAAGAAAAGAGCTAGAGAGTTCTAAAATAGGATAGGAAATCCACAGATCAGCTGTCTGTATCGAGTCCGAATAGAGTGCGAGACTTGATTTCAATCTTGATTAACATGTGCACTTTCTGTGCATGCCCAAATTAGTACGAGACTTGAGGCAATCTTACTATAGCTAGATATGTGCGTTTTCTGTGCGTGCCGAATAGAGAGTGAGACTTGTAGTCAACCTAAATTGACATATGCGTTTTCTGAGCGCGCTGAACAGAGTGCAAGAAGTCATTCACACTTGACATGCCAGTTTCGTGCGTGCCGAATAGAGTACGTGTGTTGTAGTCAATCTTGCTTGACATGTGAGTTTTCTGAGCGTGCCGAATAGGGTACGTTTTGTGTGTGCCCAATAGAAAGCAATACTTGTAGTCAATCTCACTTGATATGTGCGTTTCGTGCGTGCCGAATAGAGTACGTGTGTTGTAGTCAATTTTGCTTGACATGTGTGTTTTTTATGCGTGCTGAATAGAGCGTAAATTTTGAGGCAATAGCACTTGGCATATGCGTTTTTCTGAGAAACTTAAGGCAATCTTACTTGACATGTGCGTTTTTGTGCGTGTCGAATAAAGACTTGAAGTCAATCTTACTTGAGATGTGCGTTTTCTGTGCGTGCTAAATAGTGTGCGAAACTTGAGACCATCTTACTTAACATCTGTGTTTTCTGAGCGTGCCGAATAGAATGCAAGACTTGAAGTCAATCTTACTTGACATGTGCGTTTTCTGTGCGTGTTGAATAGTGTGAAATCAGTAGTTAGGTCTAATGACTGGAGGGTGTGGTGCGAGTTTTTCTTAAAACAATGAAGAGCAACTCTGATAAGCTCAAACATAGAGCAAACCAAGACTCCAAAGAAAGGGTTCAATGTTACGTGGAATACAAAAACAAAGATTTGGTGTTGATTGCAAATAGGACCCGAACTTGGTATTAATAACGTATTGTTAACGTGCGAAGAATTTAGTGTGATCACCTTTCATCACGCAACGTTATGTAAGTATCAGTAAAATATAATCAGTTGTCCATGTTTCTTAGGTTGGGTTAAGTTAATTAATTCAGTATTTGTGTACTTAGCGAAAAGTTTTTTCACGTTCTTTTTAAAACGTTGTTCTTTGCTTAAACGCAAAAAAGAGCGGTAGGGATATGTGTGCGCTACATCGAGAGAAATCGAACTTTCGGTTAAACCGATGATTTTCCTTTTACAGATATATTTTGGAGGTAATCGCCGAGAAAGCGATAAAGTTCCTATTCATGGAACAGGAAAACTGTGACTATGATATAGTTATGGGTAAAGCGCTACGTGAGGACAAGGCGTTAAACACCGTTTATTTCGAAAAAATAGAATGAGCTGCTACCAAAATAAAAACATTCATATGTGGCAGTTAAAAAAGTGAGAGGTAAATTCGAATATCATATCAAACGAAGAGATTTGTGGAGACAACTCTTCGAACAAAAAGATATGATGACGTCGCTTGCCTGGCGATGGTACTTCTGAAGATATGGTCGCGGTGATACTCGCAATAAAGCAGAATCTTCAGTTGTGCATGCACTCTTCTGGCATCCTGATAAGTTCCTTGCTCGTTTTGAAAAAAAATATGCGAAGAGGATCGCCCGCAAATAACTGGCGGGATTCTTATTATATCTAACCAGCTCAAGTCAGTCCCATACGGGAAAAGATATGAATTGCTGCTGCGTTGAAAAGTCATCAGAATCCCCATATCGTACGGTATTAAACAAAACGAAATTGTTAGCAGATTCTTTCAGGTTCACAAGTAGTTTCTTTATCGGCTATCACATTCTTCACATATTCTAACATTTGTCAACTTTGGAGAATATTACTATGTTATCTTTTCATAATATTTGTTTTATCTCTCCCTTGAAAGCTTATGTCGATTACATTACAAAGCCATTTGTTACAATAAGTAACATTTTCTTTATAAAACCTTGTTGTTGTCCTTATTCTGTTGGAAAAATTGTCGCTACCTAAATTTAAATAACGCCAATGGAGTATTGCTTAAACAGGGTAAGAATTAGGAGACCCGCGGCACTCAATTCACGGAACGTTACACTTGGGGATATAAGCGTCTTGTGCGCTGTTTTGACTTTTTGTAAAACGAGTAACCTAAAGGTTAGACAAGAATTCAGCGCCAAACAAACTCTGTCACCGAATGGACAGCGTTTACAGCGAGAGCAATTCGACGAAGCCGTATCATGCGTCACAAATATTGCATGGCTTCAATGGCATAATCAGTGATGATTTATGCGTCGTGCTCTATTCGGCATTTTACATGCCACTCACTTAACGGAAACTGCGCTTCGAGTTTGGAGTTAAAACGCCTAAGGATCTGTTCACCAAGAGCAGAACGTGGCATTGTTAGTTTGCGTGATCCACACGGATGAAGACAAGTGATATCATTACCTTGTCACGTGAAAGAGGCTCTCTGTCAACTGGACATTTTGGAGAATGGTTCCTGAAGGAAGAAAATTTGCAACAACAGACAAATAAAAAATCAGAAAACAAAGTTAAACAAAATCTTAAGAAATCGTTCATCGCGTATATCATTTACTCTTTTCATTTGCGTTTTTCTTCCCTTGGTCGTACTCTGCTGCGTAAGGAATCCATAATAGTGGACTTATTGTATATAATTAACATTTGCATCAAGAAGACAAATTATAATTAGTTTAAGTCGATCCATGTTTAACAAAGTAAACAAGAAAGATCATATCATTCGATGACTCTGTTAGATGCGCTGGTGCTGAAGCAATCGAAGACACCTAAAAGGCAGCCAGCCACTATTTGATGAAATATTTGATAGCTTTCAGTCGCATTCATAAGTACTCACAGTGACCTCGAACCTGTTTGAATTGTTGTATGCCGCATAAAGCTATCTAGCAGTTACTTATATATGGCTGAGACACACTATGATACCCTTGGAAAGTGACTCAACCGGCCAATATAGTCGTTCAACTTAGGTGATTGTAACATGAGATGATAGTTTTCAGTTGTAACTTGATACAGCATACCGTGATGCGCCCCCTACCTTAACAAGCTCTCCAAGCAGATGTTACAAAGTCTGTGGCCACATCCTCCAATCTGTATGGGATCTTTCATTGTTAACTGACACACAGGGCATTCAAAGTCATCGGGAACTGCACTTGTAAACTCAAAATCATATCCGCCAAGTTCTGGAATATTCTGCTCGGCCGCCATTGTGAGTTCGATTTAAAGCGAAACCGGAAATAATTAGTCTTGCATGACGACTAGAAAAATTAGTTCCCAGACTCTCTAAGACTTAAACTAAGCCCTCTAATTCAAGAACTAGGAAAAATCCCAGCATATTTTCAATATTGTGAGGCAAAAAATGCATTAACAAATCAGTGTTCAACAACAGAGGAGGGTGATGAAAGAGAACCGCACAAAACCAATCTGAACTGAGCATCAACTGGCACAGCGTGCAGAATCGAGGGGAAACAAGAAAATTAGAATTTTCTAGGGAAACTATTTCATGAAATGCATAGAATACTAAACCCGGAGTAGAGTGCTGAATACCCTAGAGAAAAGTGTCCAATATCCACAGTTAAAACGCCTCTAAAGATCTGCGATAGCGCTGCGAGGATTAAAAGTAGTAAGTGGATTTGCGACAGGGATTCAGGTTTGAACGGTGAAAAGGATGAGTCCTGTCTGGTGTGTCGGTATGACTCTGAGTGAGGCACTCCTTCCTCCCCCCTCCGCTACATAGCTGCACCATAATGAGATGAGAAAATTCTTAAAATACATCGCAGCATTAAGAAAGCATACGAACCAAACTACAACTGTAAGCTTTAAAGTTAAAAACTGGCTTGTATTTCATCCCCAACAAGGCAAGAAGTCTGTCCACGCTGATTGCAGTCATCGTCACAAGCGACACCAAGCTCAGACTATACTTTACCACGAAACTTGACATCAGTGAGATGCGGCAAATGTTCCGTTGTTCGTTTACCGCCGACAACCCCTGAGAAACAGCTACAGGTTGTGCTACCAGTCCAACGCAAAGATCAGTTGCTGAGAGGCTACGGAGCAGTATTTTGGACGGCTGATGAAGGGAAGATTCTTAGAGAAGAGCGACAAGGATCAGCGATTTCAACAGAGTTGCAGTAAATAACAACAGAATGTTGAAGACCGACAGAAATATCAGATGTTAGTGTATTTTACCAATGATATCTGCTGAACAGAACAGGTCCAGTGCTTTTTGATCGTCCTGTGCGAAACTAAAGTTTTTTGATTCCATTTTTTCCTTAAAGTATAAACTATACGTATTAGCCAATTCTACGTGAGTTGTCAAATACGCATGAGAGGCATTCATACGCGATTACCATTGATGAGACGCATTCTTTCCCTTTACGACTTCAGCAGGGGAAAATAGCAAATCATTTCCACTCACTGCCGTTATCATATATTGACAAGCAGTTGGTTTTTATGATGACTAAGCGTTTCCTAAAGATGATGTTTCTTCGGTATGTTTAATTATCGATTCATTTAAACCAAATTATTTTTTTTTAAAATTAATGTGAAGCACAGCCACGGTTCTATATCTTTAAATATAAAAAAAAATCTGTATTTCCGAGATGGTTAACTACGCTGTTAATATAGGGGCTTAAATCAATAACGCAAAAGTAAAATTATTACCTTCCTATGTTAACAAACTTAGTTCGGCGAAGAGGGCATCCGCTTGAAATATTCATTTTTGGAACTTAAGGGATAAGGTTGTAGTTCCATCGCATCATTAATATTTTCCTATCATAGCCACGTACATACGTAACACAGTTTTTACTCCAACTGCCTTTTTTTAATTTTTTCCCTTAATCCTAATAATGATTACTTGCAATTGCGCCTAACGTTTTGTTGAGAAGAGCTTTTCATTTGACTAAAGAAGGGAAGAAATGAGCGAAACACTTCGCACGTAAACGGTATTGAAATTTGTGCATGGTAAAACCCGTAAAGAGAGATCATAAGTAAATAACTTTAGCCTTACCGTTTTCCTCTTTTTTGTTTTTTTGAACCAGGTCTTCTAGTTTAAAGTCTACATCTATTTTAGATTTTTGTTTTGATTTGTTTGTTTTGTTGTTGGTTTTTTTTATCGTCTGAATGAGAGTAGATCATTTGAGTATTTGAGTAGATCTTCTTTGAAAGAGACTGACCACTCCACTTATAGCGGAAGTCACCAGCAGAGTCTAGGGAAGAGTTGTTTGCCTGAAATATATATTTCTGGCTCGTGGAAACTGATTGGTCAGCCGCTGTGATGTTATTTGATGTTTGTAAGTTGCTGTTAGTCAGTCCTCGGTATTTGCGTTCTTCGTTGTTGTTATTGTCGTGAATGAGTTGTCTGTGCCAGTAGCTGCTTACATCTCTTTCAATAAGGATTCTAAGTTACCGGTAAGCGCCCATGCTCTAATAAGCGCCCTCCCCCGAGTATATAACTTTTTAAACGTTAACTACAACCGAATCAGTTATCGCTATCTCCATACTGACTTGACGTCTACGTGGATGTTGCATCTTTTGTTTTTTCTATTTAAAATATAGCCAAAATAAAGTTACAGTTTGTCAAAATAAAAACCTTATAAGCACCTTCCTAGATAAAGCGCGCCATCCTTCGTCCTTTATGCCGATATTTTGAATACTTTGCCGGGCGCTTATAAGAGGAAATACGGTAATACGGTTACCTAATTGATGTCTTGTCGCGTTATAAATCCTGAGTAGCTGTTATAAACTCAGGTAATTCAGTGTTAACAACTGAGTTGAAATCGTAAATTAGCCACCGTAAAGGGTAAAAAAGCTGACGTTTCGAGCGTTAGCGCTTCGCCAACCTGCTATACTCTCCCACCGACGCAAAACCCAGTTTCTTCAGAAACTTACTCCCTTTATTCATTTGTTATAAACTCAGTCCAAGCATAAAATTCTGAAAGTGATGCAAGGTGACGCTCTTCTACTGAGGCATGTGTTGAGGCCGAGAACTAAGAATTCCCCTCAGTTTGCCCGGTTTGTGGCGGTCCTGGCTTTTCAAAATTGTAATTAATTTACATAGTATCTACCTTAATTAAGTAAATTTAAAAAACTCAGAAAATTCTCCGTAGTGACATTTGAAAGACAAAAAAAAAAAAAAATGAGAACAGAGAAAAATTATTAAAAAATTATCGATTAGCGAGAAAGTTTACTCAATGGTTTCTTGAAGAGACATCTAGAAATTACGAATCTATGGTATCTACTATATAATACGTTTGTAAAATATTTGAAAATCTACGAGCCTGAAGTCAAGCCTGTTAACTTCTATTGACTTTACAAACAGACGGTAGACCAAGGAGTAGTTATTGTAATTGGTCGACGAAATTGCTAAAAAACAGGTGAAAAAGTTGTTTTAAATGCAGGTTTAGTTTTACAATGAATGAGGGGAGAACATTTTCCCACAAAACATGAAACAACATGAAAGGACAACGTTTCGGTCTTGGGGCGGATTATCTCGGTATTAAATTTCAATGAGAACCCTCGTTTTATTACCTTCATAATACATTTCCATGATGCCTATCAATGTTAGTGCTTTAGGACAGCTCCCTAGACAGTGCGTATGAAATAGCTCTTCCGAACGAAAGATACTTACACTTACAGCAGTCGATGTACAGTCTTTTTAAAAGTTTCAAGTTCACGAACTTATTCACTTTTACCTTGAGCAATTACTCTCACGTAATTTTATTATTTCATTTTAATCATCATATTACCTTGATCTGGATCTAACTCTAGGCCGAGCCAATCTCTAGATACATGGCCAGCAACAGGTCCAACGTACTTGACTGTTCCTCGACGTTTCCCAAAAAGACTAAACAAGACCTTCATACCTACTTCAATATCATTGATTAATTTAGGCTTGAAGCCCTGTTTCATAGTACCACCTGTAATAAATAAAAAAACAGTAGATAATTAAGACGACCATCATACTAAATACATTACGATCATCAATCAGACTTCATTGATGTTTTTAGAACAGAAAAGAACCTAGCTCTGCGTAACATAGGCTTATCAATACACCAGTACCCCCGTCCCCTCCCACCCCCCCCCCCTTCCTTAAAAAAAAGAGATTCCTACTCAATAATAACTTGCGGGAAATGACGTGTCAGATACGAGTAGGAGTGTGATTATTGGTAAGACTACTATTTTTCTGCATATAAAACACGCAAACCCAAAATTTACATGTTCGCTCAAACGAAGGGCTGCCGGTCGAAACGTCACCTTTAGAAATTCTTTACGGTGAACAATTTACATCATCAACTCAGTTGATAAAACCAAGTTATCTTATTATACCCCCCATCGACGCAGCACCACAGTTTCTATAAAAACATACCCTCTTTAACATTGGCATGGGTTGTCCCTTTCACGTTTGTCTGGTCCTTGGTTTGGTCGGTCGTTTTGTCCATCAGCACAGCTTGATATCGATCCTGGCCTGTCAGGCGTTCTACCTGCTGCACCAGACCCTGCACAGTGGATGTTAAACTGGCTATCTGCTGTGACTGGTCATTCAGAGAGGACATTAATCGCTCATTTTTTTGAGAATAATTCATATCTTTGGCCATCAATCTGGCTATCTGCTGTGACTGTTCTGTATTCTTGGCCACCAATCTTTCTATCTGCTGTGACTGATCATTCAACTGCTGAGACTGATCATTCAACTGCTGTGACTGATTATTCAACTGCTGTGACTGATCATTCAACTGCTGTAACTGATCCTTGAATATGGATGTCAATTGCTCAATCTGCTTTGACTGATCTTTAACCAGATTCTGAGTGGTCTCAAGGCTGCACAGAGCTAAGTTCAAGTGGCTTTGGGAACCACACTTGTAAACTCAAAATCATAGCCGCCAAGCTCTGGAATATTCTTGCCAGCCGCCATTGTGAGTTCGATTTCAGACCGAAACCGGAAGAGATAATCCGTCTTGCGTGACGACTATTGAAACAAGCCTAATTCCCAGACTCTCTAAGACTCAAACTAAGCCCTCTGATTCAAGAACTGGGAAAAGTCTTAACATATAGAAAATGTTGTGAGGCAAAACACGCATTAACAAATAAGTGTATAACAACAGAAGGGGGGATGGAAGAGAAGATGGAGAACTGTCATAAATAGCTATTGAGTGGAGTTAATTTTTCCAAAGTCAGGTTCCAATGCAATTCCTAAATACATCAGTAAC